GCGGTGGGGGGCAGGCTAGAGAGGGTGAATGGGGGGAAAGAGAAGAAGTATGTAATACTTTCAACAATAAAGAATTATGCAATAACAATAATAATAATAATAATAATAATAAATAAATGTGCACAGGTGTTTGTATGTATAGGTCTATATCTAGCTATAGCTATAGAGTAAGCAAATATGATAAAAATGTTAGAAATTATTGAATATGGGGAAGTGTATGTGGAAGTCCTTTGTATCATTGATGCAACTTCACTGTAAGTTTGAAATTTTTTCAAAATTAAAACTGAAAAATGGACGGGCTGTGGAGTTTGGCTGCTTGGATCCCAGATCTGCCACTCTTTGGTGTGTGTCCTTTAGAAGCTATTAATGGCCCCAGACGATGGGGGTAAGAGTCCTACTTTATAGGGTTGTTAGAGCAAATAGGAAATGAGGAATAATGGCTAACACTACCAAGGGCTTACTCTGCCCAGCACTATGCCAAGTGCATGTAAATATCCCAATGCACAGCCTTTGTTTCTGGCACACACTAACGATCTACTGGTAACTACCATCAGTATTGTTAATATTGGAGCCCAGGATAGGGAGAAGCACATAACAAGTGTTCAACAATCATTTAATAGCTAGAGGTAAGCTGAGATTTGACACTGGGGTCCTTCTGCTATGGCAAGTTCAGAAATGACAGATGCTTTGCAGAGGAAGAAACCAAAGTTGGTCCCTCCAAACTCTGATGCAGTTGCAGTGTGGAAAGAAATTCCTAGAACTTCTGCTTACGCCTGCTGCCTGCTCATGATGTCCTGGAGCAGCTTGCGGGCAGAGAGCTGGCCCAGCACCTTCCGATAGCCGTTGGTGAAGATGGCATCTGCATACCGTGGCATCCTATGTGGGAGGAGTCAAAGGTCAAAGGGTGGTCTGGTGGGCCCAGGCGAGGGGACAGAGGTGGCTGCATTCATTAGGTTTCTGTTAGGTGCTTGTATTGCCCTTTTCCCTGTTCATCCCCAGAGAGAGTTGGAACCTGGGCTAGCCAACCTCTTTGGAGCTCAGAGTCTGTCCCCCTCCCAGAGATGGCAGTGGGGCTGCCTGAGGAGATGGCTGAGGCCAGCTGATGGCTGGATTCTGCATCCTCTCAGCACCCCTCCTCCAGCAGGGATGGTTTTGGAGTGGTGGAAATCCAGGCCCTGTTGGCAGGACTGCTTACCTGAGGGTCGGGGAGTGTGAGGAGCAGTGGCAGCCACCACTGAGAGTTAGGACCATGAGGAAGAACACCCAGAGCGGCATCCTTCACCCTTGTGGTGGCACCTGGAAAGCGAAAGGAGGGGAGATCAGATGTAGCCATAGTCACAGGGATGCCCTTTGCTGTCTGGGCCCAACCCTAGACTTGGCTTCGTGCAAGCCTTGGTCCTTGTCCTTTGGAAGAGTGGGGTAGGAAGAAGAACCCAGACTCTGGAAGTCAGACAGACCTGGGTCCAAGTTATGCCTCTGCCAGTCACAAGTTCTGACCTCATTTTCTCCATCTGTTGTTGTAGTGTACCCTGCGAATCACACAAGGATGCCTCAAGAAGTCGAATTAAGAAGCCACATTTATTTCAAAGCTGGTGGCTACGAGGGGGCAAATGTTCTCCAAATCTCGTAGCGCCTAAGTGAGAGCAATAGCCAGCTTATAAAGGCAAAAACCACATCCTGCTGGACATTGGAATGTGGAATAACCTTGCAAAACCAGTTTTACAGAAGCAAAATTGAGCAAAGTTAATAATCTCTAAAGGTTATCTGACACAGGAAAATAACCCTTGTAAAGCCATAATGTGGGCTGGCAACATAATGGTGTGATTTATGTGAGTTTCCAGGTCTCATTCTGGAAATGGAGGTTTAACTACCCTATTGTTTATGCAAGCAAATGTTTACAGTAGCCAGAATAGCAGGGTTAAAATTCAAACAGCAGTTTTTACCTGAGATGAATGTTACTATGCTTCATTGCTTCATTCTCCACTGGTTTTATGTACATGTCAAATCATGGACTCATCTTCATTAGTTAGGGGATTGTAATGCCCCCTAACCACAAGTAGTTTGACTGAATTAATTTTTCTAACGGCCTGTTTGGCACATTTAGTTTTCTATTTACTCACCTCACTTCCTTTAAGGGCATTCTCTATTCTGTTCTTGCTCTCCTGTCCCCTAGCACATCTATCCCTACTTGGCCCTGGACTTTCTCATTGATTGTAATGCCCCCTAACCACAAGTAGTTTGACTGAATTAATTTTTCTAACGGCCTGTTTGGCACATTTAGTTTTCTATTTACTCACCTCACTTCCTTTAAGGGCATTCTCTGTTCTGTTCTTGCTCTCCTGTCCCCTAGCACATCTAGCCCTACTTGGCCCTGGACTTTCTCATGTGCTAGCAAAAATGTTCCTACAGTTACCAAGGCCCCTAGTGCCACAGCCCCCATCAGTACTGTCCTCACTGAAGCCCAGTTCCCCTCCTGCAGGCGTCCAGCCTCCTCCTGGCCTGCGTGGAGCCCAGGCTAGGGATCTCACGGGTGAGGCCACTGGCTGCTAAGATCCAGGCCGTTTCCTGGTGTAGGAGCTGGGAGTGGTGTAGCCAGGTCTGAATGCCATCAACCTTAACAGCTGTGGGCATAGTCAGGATAACAGTGTAGTCCCTTCCAAGTTGGGGTTAGTCCTTGGGTCATGAACTTCTTTACTCACACCGAGTCTCCAGACGGGAAGGGAGGTAGAGGGCCCAAGGTTGGTACTGGCAAGGCATCTCACACAAGCTTATGGGTGGCTCTCTGGGTATAGTGCAGAGCCTGTAAGGACTTGAGCAAGGAATGGTTATGAATTTCAAATTTTAATTCCTCTCTAACCATGGGTAGGATAGTGGGAGGTCTACCAAATATGATTTCAAAAGGCGAGAACCCCTCCTGATAGGGGGTACACCTGGCCCATAAGGGGGCGAAGGGCAGGAGGTTGGTCCAGTTTTCACTGGTTTCTAGGATAAATTTAGTTAAAGTCCTTTTTAGAGTCTTGTTCATACCTGTCCTGAACTTTGTGGGTGGTATGCACAATGGAGTTTCCAATTTATGCCTAAGACTTGAGCTATCCTTTGAGATACCTTGGCTACAAAGGCAGGGCCATTATCTGATCCTATGACTGCTGGTAGCCCGAATCTAGGTATAATCTCCTGGAGTAATTTCTTGACCACTATAGAGGCAGTTTCTGTCTTAGAGGGGTATGCTTCAATCCAACCTGAGAAGGTGTCTGTAAAAACTAGCAGGTACTTATACTCTGCCACCGGTGGCTTGAGCTCTGTGAAATCTACTTCCCAATGCTCTCCTGGGGAGTTTCCCCAGGCCAGAATTCCCAGGGGGACCCCCCTACCTTGCTTAGCATTTACCTGTGCACAGACAGTACATCTAGTGACTATGCTTTTAATTATCTTAACTAAGCTTGGTATGTAGTACCTCCCTCGAAAAAGCTCAGAAGTCTTGGTGATGCCTAGGTGGGTAGCCTGGTGTAACTGGGCAACTATTGTCCAACCTAGAGCCTCTGGGACCAACAGTCTGTCATCTGGTAGAGTCCACCAACCATTTGGTCCTCTGGTAGCTTGCTTCTGTTCTGCCAATTCCTCCTCTTGTTTGGTGTAAGAGGGGGTTTGTGGTAGGTCTGGGTCTGGCAGGGTTAGTAAGACTTGTAAAGGCCCCACTGGTTTTTGGGCGGCTTCCTTGGCAGCTTGGTCTGCAGCCCGATTTCCTCAGGCTTCAATTGTGTCCCCTTTCTGATGACCTTCGCAGTGCACTATTGCAACTGCTCTGGGAAGCCAGATGGCCTCTAATAAGGCTAAGCCTTATTTTTTAAAAAATATATTTTATTGATTTTTTACAGAGAGGAAGGGAGAGAGATAGAGAGTCAGAAACATCGATGAGAGAGAAACATCGATCAGCTGCCTCCCGCACATCTCCCACTGGGGATATGCCCGCAACCAAGGTACATGCCCTTGACCAGAATCGAACCCGGGACCTTTCAGTCCGCAGGCTGACGCTCTATCCACTGAGCCAAACCGGTCAGGGTCTAAGCCTTATTTTTAATGTCCTTTCCAGCTGAAGTTAGTAACCCTCTTTCCTGGTAGATGGCACTGTGTCCCCATCGGAGGGCCTGGATCATGGCCAAAAATTTAGGTTTTGATGATGAAGTCCCCCTGTTTCAAATAGTGCGGTCCAGAGTGACTACCACCACCCGCTGCATACCGGATTCCATTCTGAACATAGCTGCTCCCATCTGTGAACAGTACCTCACCTGGTGATGATAGCGGGATGTCCTTTAAGTCTGGCAGAGCCGTTTGTACTGCGACCTGCTCAGGGAAGATTGGCCTCCCTCGGTGTCCGAACCAGTGCCCCCTAATGGCTGGATCTCGCTGGGGCCTCCAAATGTTGTAGCGTACCCCACGAATCACACAAGGATGCCTCAAGAAGTCGAATTAAGGAGCCACATTTATTTCAAAGCTGGTGGCTACGAGGGGGGCAAATGCTCTCCAAATCTTGTAGCGCCTGAGTGAGAGCAATAGCCAACTTATAAAGGCAAAAACCACATCCTGCTGGACAGTGGAATGTGGAATTACCTTGCAAAACCAGTTTTACAGAAGCAAAATTGAGCAAAGTTAATAATCTCTAAAGGTTATCTATATTTTCAGTTCCTAGAGCCACTGAGTTAAGGAAAGCAATTTTGTGGTTCTGGCCCTCAGACACAGGAGAATAGCCTGTGTGATGTGGGCTGGCAACATGATGGGGTGATTTATGTGAGCTTCCGGGTCTCAATCTGGAAACTGAGGTAACTACCCTATTGTTTAAGCAAGCTGGTGTGTGCAGAAGCCAGAATAGCAGGGTTAAAATTCAAACAGCAGTTTTTACCTGAGATGAATGTTACTATGCTTCATTGCGTCACTGTAAAATGGGCATGATAAAGCTATCCTGCCTTCATAGGGTTGAACAGAAAATTAAAAATAATGGTGAACTGCCCCTACAAAATAGCCCATAAGGCAGCGGTTCTCAACCTGTGTGTCACGACCCCTTTGGCGGCTGAACGATCCTTTCACAGGGGTCGCCTAAGACCATCCTGCATATCAGATATTTACATTACGATTCATAACAGTAGCAACATTACAGTTATGAAGTAAAATAATTTGATGGTGGGGTCACAACATGAGGAACTGTACTTAAAGGGCCAGAAGGTTGAGAACCACTGCTGTAAGGCATTATACGTGGAATTCAAGCCTCAGCAAGGGATAGCGGAAGAGCAATCACCTTCCCTTAGTCTCTCCTAAGTCACTCCCCACCCCCCTGTGTGGCACTGACAGTACTGAGCAGGGTTAACAGCTCAGTCTCTGAGTGAGACAAATTTGACTCCATATTCAGGCTCTGCCACGACTAGCTGTGCATCCCAGGGTAGGTGACTTCTCCTTTCTGGAGCTCAGTTTTCCTATCCATAAAATGGAATTGATAACTCTACCTATTGCATAGGGTCCTTGTGAGCATTTGATGAACCAAGGCCCCTGTAGTGTGGGGAATTCGCCACGAAGTTTTGCTTTGCTGATCTAATATTAGACCTGCTCAGGTAGTCTTTTTAGGCATGGGCTATTTTGTTTTTGTGTGGAGTTGGAGGGAAGGGAAGTCTATAAATCTTACTCTAGACCAGTGGTTCTCAACCTTCCTAATGCCACGACCCTTTAATACAGTTCTTCATGTTGTGGTGACCCCCAACCATAAAATTATTTTCGTTGCTACTTCATAACTGTAATGTTGCTACTGTTATGAATCGTAATGTAAATATCTGATATGCAGGATGTATTTAGGCGACCCCTGTGAAAGGGTCATTCGCCCCTCAAAGAGGTTGCAACCCACAGGTTGAGAATCGCTGCTCTAGACGCTTAGATTTCACTGAAGAGTTTGAGTCCTGAAAGAGACCAAGGAGCCTGGGGAGCTTGTGCAGCAGAAGTATCGCATAGATCACATAATTGCCCTTAATTGGGGCCTGCTGACACCGTACTCTGCAATTAGAGGAAGAACTGTCAACAGGGAAAGATCTCTCCTCTTTTTGAGGAGGGAGGGGGCAGAGGGGCAGGGAGGTGCTCCGTTGTCAACCCAGTCCTGCCCTGGTGTGACTCAGCCACCAAGGAATTGGGTCTTTCCATCTCCCATGGCTCCCTCCCCCAACTTCAGTAGGATATCCACTCCATGGGGATACAAACCCATCCAGAAGCCTCACCAGCCCCCACCTGCCCCCCCCCCACCAAAGGCAGGACCCTACCTTTCTCACGATTACCCTACATTGCTCGATTTGCTCCCTGGTCCTGCTTCGGAACGATTTCACACAAGCCGGTTCAGCTCTGGCAGGGTCCACCTTCCTTTCCGGGGCTCACTTGCCCTCTCAGGGCACCATCCCCCTTCTCCCAGACACTGGGTCCTGACCCAGGGATACCCTGAGACCCAAGGGAGCACAATGGGGTAGCTCAATGCAGGCGGATCCTCACACCCCCAGAGCTGGAGAGAGCCACCATCCAGGCCTGTCTGCAGCCCTTTCTTGATATGTAGCCTCCCTCCACCCGACTCCAGACAACCCTCCAGTTCCTGCTCAAACACTCACTACCTCTAAGCAAGTCTGTCCTATTTCCAGGTGGCTCTTCCTGTTAGGAAGTTTTTCTCATTGTGTCAAGTCCAAGTTTCCTTATCCTGCAAATACTTGCTTAGCCCCTGATAAGGACTGGGCTAGAGAAAAGATGAGAACAGGGCATCTGCCCCTGAGGGCTGCCCCTTGATATCCACCTGCCATGCTACCCAGAGCTCCTGCACCTTCATCCACGCAACAAGCCCCTTGGATGTGTTTTGCATCTCACTTAGGCCTTTGATCCCCAAAGCAAGGACCTTCAGTGTTCTGTCCTCTACACACTTTCCATGTGGCTCCCCCTTTCCTAACCTGAGTCCATCTCCAGAGTTTCCTAAGCAGGGAGATGTTTGGAGGCAAGGAGAGTCCCTTGACACAACCACTGCCTTTCCTATCTCCCAGCTTCAGCCTGGGCTTTCCTCTTCATTGTTGATCTTTTATTTTATGTATTTATTTTACATTTTAAAAAATAAATTTATTGATTCCAGAGAGGAAGGGAGAGGGAGAGAGAGATAGAAACATCAGTGATCATAGAATCATTGACGGGCTGCCTCCTGCACACCATCCACTAGGGATTGAGCCTACAACCCTGGCATGTGCCCTCACCCGGAATCGAACCGTGACCTTGGTCCATAGGTTGACATTCAACCACTGAGGCAAGCCAGCTGGGCTCTTTGCTGATCTTTTAAAGACTTGAGCACAGCCCTAAGCGGTTTGGCTCAGTGGATAGAGCATCGGCCTGCGGACTCAAGGGTCCCCGGTTCGATTCCGGTCAAGGGCATGTACCTTGGTTGCGGGCACATCCCCAGTGGGAGGTGTGCAGGAGGCCGCTGGTCGATGTTTCTCTCTCATGGATGTTTCTAACTCTCTATCCCTCTCCCTCTCTGTAAAAAATCAATAAAATATATATTTAAAAAAAAAAAGACTTGAGCACATCTATGCCCCTAACAACCCCACTTGCCTTCACAGAAGTCCCTCCCACCCCACGCCCTCCAGAATAAGCCAAAATCCCTGCTCTTGGCCTAAGCCCTCCCTTGGCCTCCCCACCTCCTGCCCCTTCTCCAGGGACTGGCACAAGTGATTCTTAGCCCCTGTGCCCTCCTGGCCTGCCCAGCCCACCTTCACCTTCCCCGTTGGGGCTGTCTTCATTTTATAGCTGAGGAAATGAGCCCAGAGAGGAGAGGGCCTTTACCTATGGTTCTCCATCAAATTAGTTTCGGTGTGCGCACTTCAGAATGGGCCTCGCAATTCCCAGGCCACCTGATTTCCTTCTTTCCGCAGGGGCAGCCTCCCAGATACAATACCCTATTCACAGCGCTCCCCATTCATGGGGCACTTCAGAATTCATCACCTGCATGTGGGAAAGGGGTCTGAGGAAACGGAAAGCTTTTGCCCTTTGTCACTGGTCTTTGGGGAAGAAGGGGGGACAAACAGGAACACCTGCTTGGTTGGCTTGTCCTTACACTCAATGGTGTAGGGCAGGGGTGGGGACCGTCCGGCCCATGGGTCATAAAAGGCCCACAAAATCATTTGGTCTGGCCCTGCCAAGGCATTAGGGGTAAGTTAATTAAATGTTTGACCAAAGATAGCAGGCTCGGCTACGGTGGCTCAGTGGATAGAGCATTATCCCATGGACCAAGAGGTCCCGGTTCGATTCCCTGTCAGGGTACATACTTGGGTTCGAGTTGCAGTCTTGATCCCCAGTAGGGGGTGTGCAGGAGGGAGCCAATCAATAATTCTCTCTCATTATTGATGTTTCTATCTCTCCCTCTCCTTTCCTCTCTGAAATCAATAAAATATATTTAAATATAGAGTAGAATAGAGGTTGCATCACCGAGGATAAAATAGCTGTTGACAGACACATTCCACATGATCCGTCTAAAGAGCTAGAATTCCCTGATTTAAGTGTAGCACGATTCCAACAACATCATCGACAACTCCTTGATGTCTCCAAAGCATTTTAGAGTTTACCTGTCATTACGAGGATCAGTTAGCTTTCCGCACTGCTTACAAACCAATTCTGGGATTAGATGAATGTGAGTTTGTCTGGATTCAGGTAAATGAGCACTTGTCTACATCAGGTGCCACCTTTCTCCAGCCTTCATGCCACAGATGCTGTGAGAATTCTGCAGAAGTGCCTTCAGCTAACGACAGAGGTCAGGTCTCAAGTGCCCAAACTAGCAAGGCCACTTTTCAACATCTAAGGAGAAAATCTTTTACCTTTCTTTTCCTTTTGTAAATATATTTTTATTTATTTCAGAGTGGAAGGGAGAGGGAGAGACAGAAACACCAATGATGAGAGAGAACCACTGATGGGCTGCCTCCTGCATGCCACCCCACCCCCACACTGGGGATTGAACCCACACCCACATGCCTTTGACCGGAATCAAATTTAGGACCCTTTAGCTTATAAACCGATGCTCTATCCACTGAGCCACACCAACTAGGGCCTTTTACCTTCCTTAATATTCTTTGTATTTTAAGGACCCTGGTCCAGTTTATAAACTGTTTCACCAATAGTGTTTCAAGTCTTAGGAAATCTACGCTTTTCACGAGGAATTGTCTAGAATTGTCACCCAAAAGAGTGACACCCCCACCTCCTTTCAGAATGGGTTTGAGGTGGCTTATGATGAAAGACACAAATACTTCAAGACCATTAAAGCAAAGATCGGGAAATAAGCATGAGGGTAATGGAGCGCTCCAAGGGCAGGTAATTGTGTCTAAAACCTAGAGGAATTATTGCGGCTGCAATTGAGCAAGAAAGCGAAATGTTATCAATTTCCAAGCAATTATGTTGAATCGGCTCTGAGCGATCGATGCGCGGTATTGATTTGCACCACCACTTGGCTCCTTTCCGACCCATACGGAATCCTGTTGTTGACAGGAGAATCTAGCCAGC